TATATATATATATATATATATATATATATATATATATATATATATATATATATATATATATATATATATATATATATATATATATATATATATATATATATATATATATATATATATATATAATATATATGTACATATATATATATATATATATATTATCAAAGTTGATTTCAATATACACTCACTGTACCACTTACATACACATAGTGCAGAAGAGAGTATTGCCTGTTATAAGGCTTGTATACGGAATGTTTGTTTGCATTGAATCACGAATTAACACTTCGAAAAGATCGTCATAACACGAATTAAAGATACAACCCATAAGTCACCTGTCATGGTTGATACGATTCTAAAGCTATGAACGGGCATGCTCCTGTTTTTTTAATAATTTCCTTTATTCAACGTATTTCTATAAAATACAATAGTAGCGTAATAGTAGCGTATTTAAATAGGCCAGTTTTCACAGAAAGCCAACCTTGTGGCGAGGTCCTCAATCATTTCGCCTCACCCTCGTTAGATGTTGCACGCTCATAGCTCAACAGTTTTCACTCACAGCAGAATGATGAGGTGCACTTGGTGTCCTCATAACCGGGGCATTCGTCCTTGCTGCGGCAGCATTTTTTGCTAGCATTAAGGCCACGGCCACGGCGGTCGCAGGTGCGTTCAGACACACGGTCTTGGCAACGTAATTCAAGAGGGTTATTGCTTTCTTCCATTTCATCCTCTTCTTCCTCCTCGTCGTCATCGTCCTTGTTGTCATTGCTACTACTACTGCTGCTGCTACTGCTGCTGCTACTGCTGCTGCTGCTACTGCTGCTGCTTCTGCTGCTGCTGCTGGGATTTATTGTGATATCTGAGCAAGCGTGATAGTTCTGGTCTCCAGGGGCCAACCACTCCCACTGCAATACACACCCTTCGGGACAACTTAAATTCTCTGGTAGTCTATAAGTTTCAGAGAATGTCTTTTTCCCGTTTACATCTTCGACTCGTGAGCCTCCCCCATCGGTACGTTGTAATAGGTTCTTATTCAAACAGCTAGTGCTAACCGATGTGCCCTCGCAAATACGAACCTCCACAAAGCCGTTGTCATGGGGAATTGTGATCTCCCAATCGACTTTAATGGTGCCTCCCTGGGTGTAAGTGGCTACACTGGTTTTCGAATTAGTGCCACCTCGGCCACAGATATCGTCTGAAGGGCCGTCTGACTTACCACCGCGTGCGGTAGGTGACTTGAGGTACCCATGGGCCTTTACCATTGAGGCTGCACAGATCACAATAAGCGTTTTGATTAACTGCATCGTGTCAGTCTACCGTAGTTTTAAAGAAGATAATTGATATTTTTTGCTAAATCTCAAAAGTGTCGATTAAAAAAGTTTGCCTCCCGGTTATATAGTTACTTGTAGTTGCAGCATTGCGAATGAACGTCAATATTCGAATTGACTATTACCAATCTACGTACAATAGTTGATGTCGCTGCGATTGAATAAAAAAACAGGACCCGTTATTTAAAATATAGCGAGTGAATATAGATTTCTAATTTTAAATATCAAGCTTAGAATATTTGTATGGATTCTTCTACCTTTTAAGTAGAGAGAGTGAGAGGCTCTCAATTTAACATCCCTCACTTCAGTGCTGTGACCGAATCCGATCGCAGCGATTAGTTATCGGCGATTATTTAACAGATTTGTATTTGTCGCATAATGAAGCTCCCACGGTCCCGCCTCCCGACTAGCAATAACCATTACTACATTGTAGCATTATTATCCACAGTATTTAAATTATATACAGTCTCCAGGGAATTTATTGGGATTTTTATTATGCATGACGACTACGTAATATATATTTCTAGAAATCCTGAAAACAGTGACAAATAACAAAGTTTTCTAGGAGCCGAAAAGGGGCACTGGTTAGAAATTTGATAGACTAGGCATAGGCTTGCCTAATGAGGTATTGCAGTATTCATTTTTTTGTTTTGTCGACAGGAGATCGATAAATACATTATTATTATTGTATTATTTATGTCCTTTTGATTCCTGACGGTCTTCTTTTTCTCCACTCGGACGATAATGTAGATTAACCCTGTGAATTTAATTTTTTAATGTAAATAGACTTGGGTAACCATTTGACTTTTCGCTTGTATTTTTAAATAATTACTTCAATACAATACTGACTGAGACTGACCGAGTCTTTATTCTATTAAATTTATTTTTGGTCTTACTAACAATCAAACATAGGGAACAATAGTGAGTGGCGCGATCAATCAAAAGACTGCGATAATGATCTAACTTATCTAGAGCAATATTATATTAATAAAAAACTACTACGCAGTATTATCACTTTTGGACAAAAAAATATAAATAACAAGAGACCTTTTCTAATATTAGGCTGTATGAAATAGCGGTAGAGCCTATTAATGTACAAAATTTGTTTTTTGTTTGTTTGTTTAAAAAAAATATATATATATATGTAATCATAATAATTGTTTTTAACATAATAAAAATAAAATATGCAAAAACTGTGCTCGTTTCGTAATAAAAACATAAAAAATCAACTATAAAAATATATATAATTAGTTCACAAATGGACCATGGGGCTTTTTTAATGTAAAAATTTGAATAGGAGTTATCAGAGAATTCAAAGTTACTCTTTTGTCATGTTATAAATAGATTTCGATATGAAAGAGATCAAAAAATGTTTCACAAAGCACAGAAAGTTATTACAAAAAGCAAACATATAAAACAATATATGTAGGATTTTTTTGTCAACATTGAAAAAAAGCCTCCAAGGTACTGATCTGGTTTACGACACGTTCTTTTTAGTTTCAACCGTACGAAATACCATCTGAATTGGAATTTTCCCGATATTTTCGACATAATTTGTTCGGGTTTCAAACACATTCGATATGTGTTATACCTCCAATATTTTTGGACTCTAAATTCTGAAAGTTTGAAACTGAAACCAGAACTTCAGAGCCGCAGATATTTACTCTACTGTTCTAAATATACTCGAACTATCCTCGTCTCGCCCTCTCTCGCCTCTCGGAGTCTCGGTCTCTCCCCCGGGCCACCAGCAGTAAGCACTCTCCAGAGTAGGGATTAGGAAATAGGAACTCTTCTGACTTAACTTCTTGTATGTCGTCTACTCTACAGTCTACTCACTGTACAGTCTACAGTTCTACACCAGACCATACATCACATAATTTCGAAAAAATATGAAGCGAAAATAGCCGTAATTATTTAAAGAAATACGTAATATGACTCAATTCCGGATTTCAGAAATTAATAAATATGGGTCGAAGACAAATTGAATTTTGGAGATTTTTAGAGCTTAATTAATTAAGAATTTTGTAAGGTTAAGAAATCACGCAGTTCTTAATAAGAAATAAGAATTACGAAGTCAACATACCTTAAATAAGGAATATGGAATGAATTAAGAAGTCAACATACCTTAAATAAGGAATAAGGAATGGATTAAGAAGTCAACATACTTTGAATAAGGAATATGGAATAACGGGATGATCCCGTTATATGAAGAACAAGACATTTCTTGATTAAGAAGTCGATTAAGAAGTCATTAACCACTCACCACTGTTATTTTTCTACGTGGCTCACGCGGACTCACAACCCACAGGGCCCGGTCTTTGTGTTTTAAATAAGTTCCTTATTGAAAAAAAAATTTAAGACTCACATAGCAAATAAAAGTTACCGTGTGGGAGTCTCTGGGAGATGTTAATGCATTCGGGATGGCGAGTAGTGAGGCAGATAAACCGGTAAGGGGCCTTAGGGCAACAAATACTGAAGGCGATCGTGGAAAGGCAAGATCTTGAAGAGGGCAAGGCTCCGGCAGGGGGCGAAGCTCCTGAAGAGGACGAGGCTCCTGGAGGGGACGAGATCGAAGTGGTGGCAATTAAGGGCAAACGAAGAGCCAAAAGATTTCAAACCAGCACCTATGATTGCACAGCGTTATACAGAAGTTTAAAAATTAAAAAAACTTGATTTTGTAGCTGAACACTTCACGGCGGACAAAAACAATCCAACGAAATTGGCTTTTTGTAATTATTACGGTAATGGTAAACTTTACGCATGGAATAGAAAGAAAGCAAGCAACGCCTTGATCCACTATGAGGGCACGCGTGGGAAGGAGTGTTATGACGACGTGGTATGACGACCTGAGCAAATTTGTTGCAAAGATAGTAGAAAAGCGAAACAAGACTTCGGGGCGTCAACAGAGCCTTACGGCATTCGGGGCTACCCCGAATCGACTGCCACAAGTCCAATACAATACGTCTAAGAAACTTTCCGACCTACATTGGGCTCGTTGTGTGGCTTTTTTGACGGCCTCTGTAAACTTGAACATGTATCTGGAATTCCATATCCATATACAAGTTCAGATCCTGCGTGCCCAACACACCCAGACATTGTACATGAATGTGTCCATAAGTAGAAAATTGTATCGCCGATCAATTGGAGGGAAGCGTAAGATCGCTTGTATCTCCTTAGGTAGTTCATTTAAGGCATCCAGCATCGCTGGCGTGTAGAATCGCCATCTTCGGGAAGTGGATTGCATATTGACGTGACTGTGTATATTGTGGCAGTGGGACATAATGAATTAGTGTCGTGTGTGTCACAGTGTCTGTAGCTCTGTATTCCCAACTTCTCACTGTTCTGTGTCTAAATACTTGTGAAATGTGATCAGGCGATTCAGGCCTAATTGCGATGCGTCACCAAGGGTCTGTCTGTCACAGTGTCACTCGTATGAGATATTAAGAATGAAATATGGATTATATTGATAACTTAATCTTAATAATATATATATCTTTTATTATTTGTTAATAAGAAATAATATTAAAGAACTACAGCAAAATTAATAAGTTAAGTTGCCCATCAATAAATAATTGCTGGTTCTTAATTATGTGATATGTGATATAGAATCGGGAATATCTTATTCTTAATGCTAAATATCAATTATGAAGAATAAATAATTTTGGACATAGATTCATAATTAAGAAATAGGATGAAGGACTCTTTCAAAATCTGATAAGAAAACGTACAATACGTAACTTAATGATGTGATGTATGGCCTGTTCTACACAACCATGTATTTACTTCATACTGAGAAAACTATTTATTTGTGTTTTTCAAAAATACTAATAGTGTGAGTCTATGACGTATGTAGAGTTTTATGTATGACTGTATGACTTTTTGTTTAGAAAGAAAAAATAGTACTATGACTATGTAGACATACTATGATATATGTATAAACATTGTACTGTAAACGACAATACTTGTCTGTATTTACTCTGACAGTTGTGACTTGTGTCATGAGTTGTGAGTTGTGAGTTGTGACTCGTGTAGTATATATTTGTGTTCTTTTTTAAGCAAAAAGCTTATATTTACTTCGGAGGATACAGAGTAAACAAATGACTATGTAGTGGACTATTATTTAGCGGTTGCCTAGAGCTTTAAAGGTAACGGAGTACAGACAGTCTCTCCAAATTCACCAAGTGGCTACGATAAAGATCCAGCTTATCTAGAGTATCTTTTTCACTTTGTATCCAATAAAAGGTTTACAACAAGCGTTCGAATTTGGTTTATCTTTGCCCGCACCCGACCCCCAGGCCCCAGCCTCGGATCCCGCCTTTCCCCCGAGCTCAGAGCGGCAGTCTGCCGGCTGAGCACACCCAGTGAGACAGTGACCAGTGTATCCGACACCAACAGAAAAATGTCACGCGACATGTCTGACATGTCGTTTGGTGTTGCGCCAGTCGGGTCTGGGTCAATACTAGGTTTCTCGCCGACACCCGACACCGATCGACAAGTCTTTTTGTTAAATGTCGCGTCATTTTACCAGCCCAGGTGACCACTTCCCTGAGAGGCTGAGCCTCAGGCCCAGACCCCGGTAACATACAGTAATACCGTGATATTTCAATTTATATATATATATACAAAATCGACATACGTGATACGGTGAACACTAACAATGAACTGTATTTAAATAGAAGTCATGAACCGTCCACTGTGAGTGTGGGATTCCAGGTTCTAGTAAATAAGTGTAAATAAGTTACGGAGTTAGAAATAGAAATGACTCTTCTTGTATCATAACAGCCAATTAACAGATATTTAAATATTTCAACAGCCAATTATATGACATGTATACCTATTATGTACCATTTGTGTTGTAATGTAATTTCAAAGTAGAAATTTTGTGGCACTGTAGTGAATTTGTGGGTGAAGTGCGAACTGATAACTCATGATTACATATCTATAATACATCCTCGTAATGAAAAAACTGATACGACATAGGCCGTGGCGATCGAGCCTTCAGGAGTTTATATACTGTTATCTCAAGTCGGAGGTCAGCGAGTACGATTGTATGACAGTATAAGTCAGTATGACAGTATGACAGTATAAGATCAAAACTGGTCACTGTGATCAGCGATCACTGATCAGTGATCAGAGAATGTAAATAATTATGGGAGCTCGATGCCGTGTGTCAGTCTACTGATTTATAAATTTAGTGATTGACTGATTGGCCATTGCCCTTCTACACCAATGCCATGTCTGGATGATAAAATAATCTGAAAATTGAACTCCGTTGTAGTCGCCTACATAGTGGCCTAGATTTTCGCTCACCTTCCAATACGTCCGTACATGTAGATTATACGTACAAGATCGCTGTTTATCATTCGCCTTGGTGTACGGAAATCCGAAAGCCTACGGCTACAGGCACAGAACCAAACGAGAGGCATCAATTGCATCATGTCCGCAAGATCCGCGAACCTGAACAACAATCAATACAATATTGAATGAACGCATTGTATAATATATATTTGCGCCTATTAAAGCTACTGTGGGAAAATTTTAATCCTCAGTTCACCACTGCTAGTGCTAATTAAGCAGCTTTCAATTTCAACGATGGTATGCACCAGAACTTCAATTATCGCTTTGGCATGGATGGTCATAGCTGCAAGCGTGGCCGATGCACGCACGACAACAGCAGAGCCGTATTGTCATTATAAAGGAACTTCCTACGAAAAAGGGGCCAAGGTTGTAGGACAGACACTAACATGCACGTGCCTTAGTGGAAAATGGGCCAATTGCGTCAGTAACAGCAGTGATCAAAGTGACACTGACAGTGGCGAGAAGGAAGAAGAGGTTTATCCACCCACGGGCATGGATGAGCACTTGACAGGTGCAAAAGTAAGCTTCATTAGCTTCTTGGACAATTTCGATAACGAGGATTTCGTCTTCGATTTTACAGACTCTAACAAAGTAACCGTGGACTCTCTTGGTCTCGGCGGCAATATTCAACCGGTGAACCTGGAGGAATTTCCCATTATGCAACTAGCGGGGATGTCATACAGCCGCTTTAGTATCGGCCCATGCGGTATCAATCTCCCTCATGTACACCCGCGCGCCACAGAATCTCTCTATATGATTGAAGGCCAAGTCACTCTTGGTATGTGTTTTAACACATTTTACTACTTCTTCATTTGTTCTATCAGGCGTGTCTGATTTCAAAAGCTAAGAAATGTGCATCAACATCTTAGTGGTACAATCGTTTACTTATCAATTCCTAAACCCTAAAATCGAATTGAACACTTTACAATTGCAGGTTTCGTTTCCACAGAAGATCGTCTCATCATGAATGACCTTGAGAAAGATCAGGTGACATTCTTCCCTAAAGGGCATCTTCACTATCAGCAAAATATGAACTGCGAGAATGCTGAATTCATTTCTATTTTAGACAATGAAGACCCTGGAGTGTTGGTCGTATCTTCCGCACTTTTGTCGTTACCTGATGAAGCTCTCACGGCTACATTTAATGAGGATCAGGCATTAATCGCACAGCTTCGTTTGGGACTACCTGAAGGCCCGGCGCGAGCTCGTTCTGAGTGTTTGGCCCGTTGCGGACTGGACATGGACACACCCCTCTAAATGCCAATTCGCTTTCCCTTTTAGAAATACGAATTTGCTCCCAATTTAAATGCTAATTCGCTTCCCCATCAAATGCCTATTCGTAGGAAGTGCAGCTTATAGCTGATTTATGCGTACGATGTGAAATACGCACTGTGTGCAGTATACATAACAATGCTCGACAATAAACTTATTGTTTATATATTGGTCCTATCGGTACATCTATCAAAAGTAACATATGTATTTTCTAAACTTTACTGGGGTCTACATCGTTAGAAACCTGACATTTTGACAACTTTGGCAAACTAAACATGTGTATGTAGCATGCCTATACTATTATACTTTAGCAATTGTCTCTCAGTTTCATCTCAACCTTCATGTTTGAATCAATATACGATAAAGTGAAAAGAAATGTTCAGAAACTACTGTTTTTAGTTGATACAAGCTACTAATACCTTGTACTAATACTTGTATGTGATTACGCTCAGAATATGAAGGTATACTATTGTCACTTCCTCATGAACCTGATGCGATGAAACGCACATACCCACGTTATCAATGCTTTAAATAGATTAACCGAATAAATCGCCTGACTGCAAATCCCTTTTATATTTGTATATATATATATACATAAATATATATATATATATATATATATATATATATGTGTAGTGTGTGTGTGTGTGTGTGTGTGTGTGTGTGTGTGTGTGTGTGTGTGTGTGTGTGTGTGTGTGTGTGTTTCTCCATGTACGATACGCACTACATAGATACATATGCAGACATCTCTGTACATACACACCTTCACAAACACATACAACGACACCCTAAAAGGGTACAGCACGCCTATCCCTACATACCGGGGAATTGGAAGATGGGAGGTTGTTTGTCCGAGATGAGCGCTTGGTACACCAAAGCACTGAGCTTCATACATTGTGCAGCCATGGGGGCCCACTTTCTCAGAGAAGCCATGTTGACCATACCCTGCAGCATAAATGACAGCCCAAGAGACCGGATGAAGACAAGTGCATGCACTGTGGGAGTGAAAAAA